TAGGTTTTCTAGTTTCTGTGATGCTGCTGAGCTTTCTTTCTTTTGTTCCTTTGATAATCTGTCCCTTCTCCTTTGGCTGCTTCATAGTATAGCCTTCTTTAGTCTTGGTCACTACTGTGACACCAGGAAACAAACCAGATGGTGTGGAACTTCCAGGATTTCTGAGTAATACATAATCCCTAACTCTGCATGAACCAAGAACCTAAATCCATATTCTAGGGCTTTTAGGATTATCTAGAATACTAAGAAGATTCCTTTGGAGGATACTAACTGAGACTGGCCTTGGTAATGTTTTAAATTAAACACTGCATCAGATCACTGTTGTGTTTCATTTTACTATCTAAATAATGCTGATATTATCGAAAAACTACTGTTTTATTGCATAATTCAAATGAAAACAAATAGAAGAACCATTGGTTCTACTGAAGATTTCATATGTCTATCTCTTTTTTTCTTTTCTTTTGATGCTTAGGAATCGAACCAGGTCCTTGCACATGCCAAGCATACACTCTATTACTGAGTTTCTACACTCCATCCATTTAATTTTTTTTTGCAAACAGGAAAAAAAGTATACCAAACACTCATTTTAAAACATTATTTTGTGGTACTGTTATTTCTACAATGTTCTTTTTGCCAATGAACACACTATATTTGGGGCCCAAGATAAATCTCCCCTAAGTCTCCTGATCTTGTCAAATGGTCTTTGCTGGCTGGAACCAAGCAGTAAGAACATCTAAGCTTCTTTGGTGTAGGTTTGGATTTGACCTAAGCATCTCCACAAAAGGTTTTCTCGAAAAATGCAAGTTATGTTTTTGATTTTATTGTTTGTTTGGATCAGCTACCAAATAAGAGGAATATATTAGGATTAGTTGTTACACATCTTATATTTTTGTCTCTTTTTTCACCCTTGAAGCTTGCTGAAGAAATCATTTGTTCTAAAGAGTTTTTTGTTTGTTTGTTTGTATGTTTTTTAGTGGTAGTGAGTACTGAACCCAGGGGCACATCCCCAAACATTTTTATTTTTTATAAGGTCCTGGTAAGTTGCCCAGGTTGGTCTTGAACTTGGAATTTTTCCCATTTTAGTCTTCCACAAAGCTGGGATCCCAGGCATATACAACACTGCCAACTGTCCTGGAGAGTTTCTGATGGGCTAGATTTGATGATAGCACTAATGTGATATTGGTTAATGGGTTCTGTTGATTATAGGAAATACCTGTTGTAATTACAACAGAACCTATTAGGTGGGTATAGAGGCTTAAATCACATCATATTCAATATTTTTAAGGAAAAGAAAGGAAAACTACATCATAATGGCATCATAATGGCAATTGTGATTTTCTATCAGGAGGTATATGCCATCTGGTTGTCTTTCCTTTTGAGACATTACTAACAAATGTTATTATAATGTATTAATTTATGAGAGGTAAAAAGGGTGATATTCTATTATTCTTTCCTCACTTATTAGCTGAAAAGCTATCAAATAGATATTCCCTTTAATCTGCTACTTGGTTACCCAGTGGTACAGGTAAAGACAGATCCTTCATTTCCTTTATTGACCAGTCCTCAGAATAATGAATTGGTTCACTACAATACTCTGATGGTGACCAATTCATTTAAAAAATATCATTATGAATTAATAAATGTTAATATTGGGTTTGTTTTGAATAAAAAACTTTTTGTATGGGCTGTGGATATGGCTCAGTGGTAGAGTGCTTGCCTAACATACACAAGGCCCTGGGTTTGATCCCTAGCACTGTGAAAAAAACTAAAAAAAAAAAACTTTTTCTATATCTCCTTTAATCTGTTAATATAACAAATTATATCAATTGATTTTCAAAATTAAGTCAACCATGCACTTTCAGCAGAAACCTCAACTTGGCATTAGGAGCAATTGAAAAACAATACTGCTTGATTCAGAGTGCAAATATTTTGTTTAGGATTATACATGTATTCATAAGTAAGACTGGCTCATACTCTTCTTAACTTTGAGTATCAAGGTTATGAAAGCCTCAAACTGATTCAGACACTGTTTATTTGGTTTTCTTTGCCTTGAGAGAGACTGCGGAAGACTGGAATTCTTTTTCCTTGAATGTTTGGCAAAACTGCCAGGACTCACTGCTTGTTTGTTTCCTAAAGTTTTTTTGAATTGAAAAGTATACACTTACACACACAGGGAAGTTCATAAATTATAAGTATAGAGCTTGATTCATGGTTATAATAGCAGTTTCACCCTCCCATACATCTCCTCAGCCTGATCCTGAGTTTTGCAAGAGACCAGATGAGTCAGTGGGAACAATACCTGCAGTCTTTTGACAGGAAAAGCATTTAGCAGGTCTGGAAGATATAAATCCAATTCAGCAGAAAAGTCTGAAGGACTCTATTATAAATTCAAGTTAGCAGGCAAGGCAAATTTTACCTACTAGACCAACTTATTCTAAAGGAGGTTTTTAGAGAGCTGGGATTTTATACTTACTTACTTACTGTGGTGCTGGGGATCAAACCCAGGGCCTTGCACATGCTAAGCAAGTGATCTACCAATGAGCTACACCCTAAGCCCAGAGATCAGGGAGGTTTTCATTCAAGCAACCAATGCCTTTTCTGAGAAATAATACAATTTTTAAAAAATAGCAAAAAATAATCTTTCATTATTTTGATCAGTTTAGTAATGGTGGAGCTGCATCAACTCCTAACTGTCCATTTCATTTGTAAAAACCTGACCCACCTCTACCTCCTCCTGTCAGGTAATAAATAACTAACTTCTCTGCCTACCAGGTATGTATCATGAACAGAAGCCATTTAATAGTTTAGATGTGCTTTGCACGGTCTGGCAAAAATTCATGAAATTTTAACCATTCTTGATTTAACTGTGAAATTTTTACATAGAGAAAACTAATTTTGATCAGCATAACTATCCATTATAAAAGTATAAAAGGGCCAAGATTTTAGCTCAGTGTAGAGTGCAGGCCTAGCATGTGCAGGGCCCTGAGTCTGGTTCCCAGCACTACAAAACAAAAACAAAAAGAGAATAGTGATATCTCCAATACCCCAAGGCTAGGACTCTAGTGATCAGATTTCCATGTTCATGTCAAAACATTTATTTAATACATATATTCTGGGTGCCTACAGTGTTAAATGCAGTTCTAGCACATACACTCACTCAAAAGAATGAGAGTTAATATTTCATTACCTCTTCTCAATAACTCAAGGTCTCTTAACATAAAAAGAGCAAAAAGGAGTATCTGATTTCTTCAACCAACACTCTGAAATCTCCATAAGCAAACAAGACAAATCAAATCAAGTACTTTCCCTACTTTGGACTTTATGGTAACATATTTTCTACAGCTGCACTGCAAATATTCAACCAGCTAAAAGTTTAGCAATATATGAATCAAAAAACTCACACACAAATATACAAACAACTGTTAATATATTAAAAATACTCAACCTCACTCATAATTAAAGTACAAATATAAACTAGAAATGTCATCTTCACCTATTAGTAAATATAAAAACTTAAGACTGGTAACATCAACTTTTGATAATAGACAGCCAAACATTCCTCCATACATCTTATTGGTGGAAGCTTATGATGACTTATCTTTTTGAAGATGTACTTACCTTTGCTTAAGTAATTGTACTGTTAGAAATTTATCCTAAAAATATACTGGCAATGAGATTACAAGGATATAAGTACAGTATCCTTATTGCAACATAATTTATAACATAACACACCTAGAAATGACCTAAACATTCATGAAGAATGAACTGGCTGAGTAAAATTACAGAAAAGGAGGACAAAAGTATACTATCCCACTGTAAACAAAGGAATGAGGCAGATCTTTATGTAGTGATATGAGATGCCTAAGATAAACTATTAAGTGAAAAACAGTCTATATGATAGAACAGAATAATCTGTAATAATATAACCAAATTGATACAAAAAGGAAAAAAAGATACAATACAAAATTTATAATAATTTCTAGAATTCCAAAGAAACTGTCAACACGAAGTACTTTGGAGAAATGGAGGTGAGGTAGTAGGAAGAAGAGATACTTCAAAAGATCTTTGCTTTCTTTATACCTTTGTATTGTCTGGATTCCTCAACTAGAATATGCCTTGTGTCTTTATTTATTTATTTACTTATTTTTTAAGTTGTCAATGGACTTGATTTTATTTATTTATATGTAGTGCTGAGAATCAAACCCAGTGCCTCACACATGCTAGGCAAGCACTCTACCACTGAGCCACAATCCCAGCTCGTGGTTTTTTTTTAAGTATTTTTTTTAGTTGTAGATGGATATAATACTTTTATTTATTTTTATATGGTGCTGAGGATTAACCCAGTGCCTCACCCATGCTAGGCAAACACTATGCCACTGAGCCACAATCCCAGCCCTTGTTGTTATATTTTAAAAATTTATCAGTTTTGAGATTTTGCGAAATTCTTGTCAAATTATAAGTTTCCTGCTATTTATTTCTTTTTTAATTAACGTTCCTGCTCTTTAAATATGCAATATCCAAAAGAAATCCCTGTACTTCCTTAACTTGTTTCACAGATAACTGAAATAGTAATTTTTATGGATTAGTTAAGACCATGCTATTTATGAAGTACTTTCAGTAATAAACATAAAGTTGTCAAAAGACCAAGAAAAATAACAAAAATGGGTAAAGTAGCTGTGAAGTCCAAGATATTATAAAATATTATATTTTCTTTTCAAAATTTCTTGGAAAAAAGAAGTTGTAAGCTTAGAGTACTTTTTCACCATATACTATAAAATTACTTTTTAATATAACTAAATTGACTTTAGTAATCAATTACAGAAGTCATTTTCTAAAGTTTACCAAGTTGGAAAGAGACACAGCAGGGAAAATACTAAAGAGTGAAAAGCAGAAAAGGAGACGACCAAAAATAGAATTAGAGAAGGGAGTAAGTAATGTCTGTTAGTACAAATGGGTAAAAAGGTGACTTTAGAGAGTCAATTCCCATAGTAATACTATACCTAACAGCTGGCTGTGTTCCCCTGTGATGGAGTTCTGATTCGGGTCTGAAAAACAAACAATTGAAAAGAAAAGAAAAAATGAATGATCAAAACAAATAAGTTTTTAAAATTCAGCAACAAAAGTCAACCCAGGAAACAAAAATTAAAAAAAAAACTTAAACATTAATGAAAGGATAATAAAAACAGAATGAGCTATTATAAAAAATGATCACGGGGCTGGGGATATAGCTCAGTTGGTAGAGTGCTTGCCTAACATTCACAAGGATCTAGGTTCAATCCCCAGCACCACTAAGAAAAAAAAATTAAATAAAAATTTTTTTAAAAAGATCACATTGCTCAAAAAGTTAAATACTGAATTACTAAATGACCTAGTAATTCCACTTCTAAGTATACATGCCCCCCCAAAAAGTGAAAACAGGGACTCAGATATTATATGACAAAGTTTACAGAAGCATTCTTTCCAAGTCAAAAGGCAGAAACAACCCAAGTGTCCTCCAACAAATGAATGAATAAACAAAATGTGGCATAAACACAGACTGGAATGTTATTCAGCTATAAAAAAGAATAGAATTCTGATATAATCTAACACATCGAGAAAACTTGAAAACACTCTCTAAGGGAAATAAGCCAGACACAAAAAGACAAATATTGCATGATTTAATTTACATGAAAAGAAAGTTTAGTGTTTAATAGAAGTTGGGTAGAATGTACTAAGGAGTGTTATTGCTTAATGAATACAGCTGCTGTTTGGGATGATGATAATTTAGGAAATAGTGAGCAGTAATGGCTGCACACCACTACAGATGTAATTAATGCCACTAAATTGTATACTTAAAAGTGGTCAAAATAGTAAATTTTGCGTTAATTTTACCACAATAAAAAATACATTTAAAAAATTATCACACAAACACGACCCTGCAAATTTCCACAAAGTATCCACAAAGTAGGATGATTCAGGGCCTATGACATGAGTTACATTTTCTCTTTAATGACAAAAGAATATATTATGAAAACAGCTCAAAGTCAAGGCATAAAATAAAGCACTCATTACTGCTAGAAGGGATGTTCTGATTTTAAACTGGCTTTTAAAACTATTCATTTCAGTAATCTGAAATAAAGCCAGTGGCAATAAACTGAGTTCCTAATGCAAGAGCTATAGATAATCACCATTTAACAACCAACCACTTGCTTATTTTAAAGACTTGAAAAGCATTAAGGGCTAAATATGGAAGAGGCCCTGAGCTCCACCTTCCTCAAAGATTAAATCTCTTGAAACACTGAGGATTACATCTGGCTTCCCTGAATGTGTCTTACGGAATACAAATAATTTTAGATTGAAGGGGTCTATGAACAATAGGGAAAAATTACATCTTCATTTTCACTAACTTCTAATTGTTTAATATTTTCCGCAATTATGATGTAGACAATGAACTACATAAAAGTACCTATGATTTTATCAACAATAAATATCAGATATTTTGTATCATATTATTGCTGTCTTAGAAAAAATTCAAATACTATTTTCCATGGTCCATGTATGTATTTTATACATAATTTAATTAAATCTAATGCTTTAAAATATGCATCCCAAGGCTGGGTATATATAGCTCAGTGACATAGCATTTGCCTAACATGTGTGAGGCCCTGGGCTTGATTCCCAGCACTGCAAAGTATTACTTAATTAAAATATGCATTCCAGACAAAAAGAAATAATCGGAATAGTTAAAAAGTTCTGTTTTCTGATGTCTGCTGTAGTATACCTTACTACATCATAAAAAAAAAACCAAGATAGACACCAGATTTCTAAAACTAAAGTTTTCATGCTGTTGAACATTTTAAAATATAATCTCAGAAGATTTTCTTCCTTAATTTGGTTTTGAAAAAGAGGAATTCCAAATTTTCTACTATAGGACGCTTCCCCAAAAACACCAGCAAAAAAAAAAAAAAAAAGTTATTGGTTGTTTTTGCACATAAGACTAAATAGGAATAACAATTCTACAGTAAGCTGATATATTAGATTCTCCCCCTTCCCATCCTTTGGTAGGGGGAAAAACTATGCAAGTGTATTGGTGGTATGCAAAGAAAGGCAGAAGAAAAAAAAATCATAGAATTTTAGAAATAGAATAACTTTGGTTGTCACCTAGATCTAGTAGTAGATTTAGAGGAAAAGCTGGAGTGGAGTATCATATCATCTATTTTTCCTCTTAAAATTCTACCAACACCCCTTTCTCACGATTTTGATTCCCAGCTATCAGTTAATGGGAATGTCTTATATCTCTTACATGTATGTGCTGGGTCAGAAAATGTTGAAAACTTTTTCTCTTAGTATTTTTGATAAAATGAATGCTTGGGTTAATGGTCAGACACATTCACAGTACTGCTAAAAGAGAAAGGTTAGATATATTGTCCTCTCTCTTTTTTTCCTTTGGCACTGCTGTAGACTGAACCTAGGGCCACATATATGATAGGAAGGTGCTCTACCAATAAGCTACACCCTAGCCCAAAATATGTGTTATGTTCATGCTCCTCAACACTCTATATTTATAATTTTTTTGTTCTTAAACCAAGGACAGCAGCCTAAAACAAGTTATATGGAATTCATGGAATATATTATGGGAATAGATAGCTCAGGCAAAGTAGAATGATTTTAGGGAGGAAAATAAAAATGACTTTATTAGAAAGAATTAGCTCCTTCTTTACTATATATATGCATGTTTTCTGAGTTATGCATGCATGATGCATGTGCATTCTTTAGTCAAGCCAGGACTCTTCCTTTGAATAACTTCCTCTATTCTAAGTAGAAACAAATCTTTTATGTGATTCCCTACAAATTCAACTTAGCGTTTTGTTTTTCGTTATTATAATTAAAGGCTTTCTGGGCAATCTTTGTTACTTACTTGGTAATTTTTTAATTCTAATTTGTTATATATGACAGCAGAATGCATTACAATTCATATTACACATATAGAGCACAATTTTTTCATATCTCTGTTTGTATACAAAGTATATTTGCATCATTTGTGTCTTCATACATGTACTTAGGGTAATGATGTCCATCTCATTCCACCGTCATTTGAAAACTAGTCTCTAGGAATCCAAAACTCATTCAATATCTTTTTTTTAAGTGAAAATGTCAAATCTGGGAGTGAACAAGTTTATGAACCCACTAGAATGAAACTAGCCATGACTTAAAAAATCACAGTTGGGGCTATTGTGAATGGGGTTCTTTTTCTAATTTCTCTTTCAGCTTCACTGCTTGGAGTATATGAATGCAACTGATTTATGGGTGTTGATTCTGTATCATGCTACTTTGCTGAATTCATTTATTAATTCTAGAAGTTTTCTGGTAGAACTTTTTGGTTCTTCTCAATATAGAATCATGTTGTCAAGCAAACAGATAATTTGAGCTCTTCTTTTTCTATTTGTATCCCTTTAATTTCTTTCTTATGCCTAATTGCTCTGGCTAATTTCAAGGACCATGTTGAATATAAATGGTGAAAACAGGCATAACTGTCTTGTTCCTGGTTTTGGAGGGAATGCTTTGTTTTTGTCCATTTAGAATGATATTGGCCTTGGGTTTGTAAATGAGTATCACCCACAATCATTTTTTGTATCTATTCTCCAAGGTACTTTTTACAATAGATTTTACAATGTTGAGGTATATTCTTTTTATCCCTAGTTTTTTCAGTGTTCTACACATGAATGGATGATGTATTTTGTCAAATGCTTTTTCTGCATCAATTGAGAAAATTATGTGGTTCTTGTCTATTGATGTGATGAATTACATTTATTGATTTCCTTATGTTGAACCAACCTTGCATCCCAAGATGAAATCCACTGGATCATGGTTCACTGTCTTTCTATTGTCCTATATCTGAACTCTCCCATTTAGTATTTTTCCTGCCTGTCACTGGTAAGGAGACACACAAGTTTGCTTAAGACTGGGAACTGTCCTAAATATTATTCAAAATTACATTTATTTTAACCAAATTATTTCCTGTAATAGGAGTCATGTGCTGATAATATACTTTTACCCTTTGATGACCTTCCCAAACTAAGCTACATCTAGGCTATAACATAACCAGGTTATAATCAGAAGGCCAAGATACTCTACAAATCAAAATGGTAGTTCCAATAATAATAAAAAAAACAATAGAGAAACAAAACATATACCTTTTATTAACATCAAGTAGATGCAATCGGAAAAATGAACTGAAAATATTTTCTATAACAGTAAGAATTTACAGTAGTAGTTTTATAAACAGGCATGTGCTTAATTAATACATTTATCCTAGGTAAATGGTAAGGAATGAAGATTTAATTTAGTTTCTTGTCAAGCACCTTGGAGAAGAGAGAGATTAAAAAAATGACTGTGGGTGATACTCATTTACAAAACTACCTTTGTGAGGTTTTTCTGAAGGACTTTAATATTTTTCTTAGATTGCCCATAGGAACAGCTTTTTCAAAAATTCCTTTGAGAATCTCTTCACCTACCATTTATAGTGGAGAATTTGAAGTAAATTAAATGTTAGCCTATGTCTTGTAGCTCAAATTCAGCACAAAAGTCTTGATTAAACCCATTAATTTCATTTAAATAACAATGTCAATTAAGAACATAAAGGCTATAAACATCAGTATATTTACAATATTATCCTATTGACTATATTATCTATACATACAAGTCATTTCAAGATATCAAACACCTAAAATAACTAGCCCTAATGTAATATATTTATAATTTTCCAGATTCCAACTTTTTAAAAAACTAAAGCATCGTTATCCTAAGAAATCATTTTGACTCAATTAAGCAAAGATAATTAAAGATGAAACCCAAAACAACTGACATTATTATTCAATTTACTAGATTCTGCCTCTCTATACAGGAAGGTTTTCTAAGTGGGGACAAAAATTGAAATAAAGTAAACTCTAACAAACAAACAAACAAACCCTATATTCTTTACATAACAGATTCTGAACTTACTGCAACAAAACTAAATAGATCCAGAAACACTTACATAATATTATTTTAATGGGGTTCAATGAAT